TGCTCCTTCCACCACAGGGAGAACAACCTTGGTACACCACCATACTTCGGGGATTATGAGATTATCTTTTCACAGCCACTTTGATTGAAGCAGAGCCTCTCAGGTCACCGACAGTCACGGTCTCACAACATGAGAATGTGGAGAGATGCACGCAACTGATGTTGTGATGACATGTGGGCTAAACCCACCATGTTTTAATGGGCTTTTCAAAATGTCTTCTATCCACATAAAGAGTGAAGCCTGTCTTAGATTAAAAAAACATAAACACTAAGTAGACATAATTGTATCCTGAGGGTTGGGAGTCAAGTTTCAAGTCTCTGTCAGATTTTCTACATCATGGATTAAAAACATTAATGATCCAGTGGCAGAAGCTATGATTTAGATCACATCCAGTTCAGTTATTCCTTGTTACCAATCAGTTTTCACATTGTACCACAAAGGTTCATCCTGCTAACAGACAAAAACGTCACATGTCCGCCTTGGACACAAAGAGACTAAAGAGTAAAAGCTTGAGTTCAGATAGACACAAAGAGCAGTAAAGCCTTATCTACCTGGTCCGTCATGGACCAGGTAGATAAAGCGTCCGTCTGTGGAATGACTGCATGGCTTCATCTTTGTCTCCGACAGAGCCCGTGGGCCGCTGCAGATAAGCCAGTACCTGCTTCAAAGTAACATGGAAAGTGTATAAATGTGAATATCCACAACAGGAAATCGTTCAAAGTGGATTCCACCTTCTACCATTTGTTAACCTTCTGTTACTCTCACCTGTGGAAAGACTAGTTTTACATTATAGGAGTTTCTGAGGTTTACTTTAAAAAGTCTTTGATTATTGGCTGAATCTTTCCAAGAAATCGGCACAAGAGACAGCGAGAGTTTACTTTGCTGCTGGATCGATAACAGCATTCCAGTTGTTTGCCTGAAGTCAGTGATTGTTCTCAGCTACTGTTTGTACCGACAGAGGAACACAAAGTGACAACAGTGAAAAAGATGAAATGACCAATAAGTGTTTCATTTTAGTTTGCTCTGTTCTGGACGTTGACCAACAAAGTAAGTGAGAGTGCAATGATTGGACATCCTGCCAGCTTCCTACTGCAACGTTGACGTCCTGCGTCCTCCAGCATACTCTGTTCCTTACCTAAACCAAAAATATTATTTCCACTGACGAGGACACATCTGAACCATCTCCCATCCTGATTATCACTCTCATGCCTTGATTTCATTCAAGAAAACATCTTTAATGTGGGTATTTTTGTAGCTGTGGCTGTAATCTGACCTATTTGAGCAGATAATCTGTTTTGTGAATTAAAGTACTATTTTTGCCCTGTCCTTTATTCTTGTCTTAGGTCATTTGGGTGTATCTAAAAACAAAGGGTTTTTTGCATAGAGTTTTAAACTGGGAGAAGCTGTGACTGAGAACTGAAGTACTTCATGACTTGGACGGACATCAAACTCTCCACGTTGAATCATCACAAGAGTTTCCGGTATGATGGCGCCTGTGTTCGCTTGTCTTAACAAGTCCTCCCTGGAGCGTGTGCAGGTTGTTCAGACTAAGAGTCCAAATACTCCCCATCAACATCAGAGTCCACTTGAAGATTTTGGTTTTAAAATGTTAGAGCTCTGCATGGGCAAGCAGCAGCGCACATCAGAGAGCTTTTAGCTCCATACATCCACAGCAGGTCCCTGAGGTCATGTGATAAGGACCTGCTGTGGATGTATGGATACAAAACTAAAGGAGCTTTAGCAACAGTGGCCCCCAGACTCTTGATCTCTTTTCTTCTGAGCCTGAGATCTGTGGACTCGCTGGTCTCTTTCACTAAATCTCTTTAAACTTTAACTCTAAGCACCTTATGATATTTGACTTGAAGAGTGCTATACAAATACAATTTTACTTACTTTACAAATGTGGTTCTTCGATTAATAAATAATTAAAATGTTATAAAGAATTCAGTATCTTTATCTGTATAATAAGAAGCTTAAATAAATGTAATACTACAGTTATAATAATGGTACAGTTGCCTTCCTTCCATGTATGGGCCTTTTTACTCTTAAAAATGTATGAGGACCTAAGTTGAAGAATCTGAATCTGACTGTTTGACTGATGTGTTCTTAATTACAGCTCCCAGGGAGCACTGAGATTTAAACCAGCCAGCCCCAGAGTTTAAAATGAAGACTGGATAATTCACAGATGTAACTGGCAAATTGTGATGCAGTACTTTTTTCCTTGCGGCAACATTACTCCAATCAGCTCCAACATTAAAACCATCTGCTCGCTCATGTAGGTCTCCCATCAAACAGCTCTGACCCATTAAGGCGTGGACTCCACAACAACCCAGAAGATGTCCTGTGGCATCCACAACAAAGAAGTTTGTAACAGGTCCAAATAATCCTGTCTTTGCAACCTGAACCACCTTCTTCCATTGCTTCATGGTTCACATCCACCCTTTTCACACAGGAAGCGGCGTGCACTGCGCTGGGCTCTGGCTGTACTACATCACTTTCTTGCTTCCACTCATGATCTTCATTCGTACTACAGGCTCTGAACTTCTATTGGTCACACAGCTATACTGTCGCAGCTAGCATGTTGCAGTTTCTATGTGAAAGGGCCCTAACTCTCACATGTAGGCACATTTGATTATGGACAACATAAACAAAGTTCCAAACCAAAGACTGTATAAGACTGTAATGCAACATCACCCTGGACTATGCATTTCCAAGCCTCACCATTGGTGATTTGGATGTATCTTTGGAGCCAGAAGTGAAGGTATCAGTTATCAGCTAATGCTAGCGAGCTGTATTCATAGGCAAAAGTGTAGGTGCACAGATCTGCTAATTAGTATCAAGCTAAAAAGATACTCGAATTTCACTCACCAAATTTAAGGCACAGATTTCTTGGATGGTCAGTACTACAAAACAGGTCACTTCATTTGTGAGATGTTTCCATTAAAAATGGAGTGGAGGCCTAGCAAACCCAGGCCTCATTGGGCACTCGGCCTGGACTACATCATTTATTTGCGTCCATTAACCAACTTTCAGCATTTTAAATATCTGAACAGGTGAGTTTAAAAAAATCCAGCTCCTGTACAGTTATTATGGAGGGAGACTATCAATAGAAAGAGGCTGAAATGGTTTTTGTCCCAGGCTGCCATGTTCAAATCTGGCATTTGAACATGGCAGCCTTTGGGGACTGATTCAGTTTGGAGCCAGCCTCACATGGCCATTAGAGAAACTGCTTGTTGTTGGTACTTCCACATTTTTCTGGAGGTTTGCACTTGCTCCATAAACTTTTAGCAGCCTTTACATTTTAGCAAGTCTTTTAGAAGAGCAAGAATCTCCCCATGGCCATTACTATTCACAGCTTTCTGAAGCTAGTAACCACAACATACAGGGTACCCTCCACAATACCTGCCCTCTTGGCACTGCTATGATTTTCTAATATAGCCATCATCAAAGTCTCTATGATCATTATCCCCATTTTTTCCCTGTTTCCAGCATTTCAAGCACTGCCCGTTCACTTGTTGCCTGATGATCAATGTTGTTCCCTCGGTTCCAGTGGTTTTAATGGTACTATCACCTGCTTCTCTAATGGAGTCTCAGGCTTTCAGGTGTGATAGCAGTTACAGCCAAAAATAGTACAAAACTTGGAGATATTTTCATAATTTCAAAAACTACCTTCAATCTTCATCATGGACCAGATGCTTTATATGCACCTAGAGGCCATTGCAGAACATGTCTGTAAAAATGAACACTGGAGTGCAAAATCATGTACCTCAGCTTCGCATCTGTTAAATTAAGAACATTGTATTTATTAGAAGAAAACTGAGGCTTGCATAACGTTTTGTCTTTCGTTACACATCAAGGATAATCCATCAATTACAAAGAGCCACTTAAAAAAAACACTAATGTCTTTCTCTAGTGCATAAAGCGCAAATCCCAGGCGAGAGAAAAGGATTGAAATTCCTTGCTGGAGGAGAGAGTGACATCGTTGCGTGTTACACCAAATTAGTGTCCTCGTTTTGAAGCTATATGCTCAGTGTTCCATGGTAAGAAGATTAAACCTGTTCATGAGTCTGACAGCTCCTTCCCAAACAAACATTCCTCTGAAGAGTTACCCGACACAGAAAATGTGCCCTGAGCCAATTCTTTCTCTCCTCTTTCTCCTGCTGCACACCAGCCTGGCTGACAGCGGTCCTACAAATGTGCCCTGATGCATGGCATCAAATGCACACCAGGTCCATTTGAGAGGCAGATATGAAAAAAGCTTTGCAAAGTTTGAGTCTCTCTGCAGTCCTCTGTGTTTGTGTTCTCTGTTGCAGGGTAAGGATTAGATAAAATATTACCAGGGTATTTATAGGCAGTGACATTTAGGAGATAAAGGTAGAGTATCAGGGCGTGTGGAATGTGGAGTCGGGACTTGTAATATCACTGATATGGCAGGGGGATTACCTCACCCTCTGGTAGGAAGTAGCCTACAGCAGACTGGATATGACTTCTGCCCCTGGCTTCACAGGCGACTGCAGGATCAACTAAGCTGCTCCAAGTCAAACCAAATGCACAAACCAAATAAAGCGAAATACAGAAGCACCCGAGCAACGAGCTTTTTCAAATATGCTCCAAAACAACTGAGAAAAGATGCCCCACAGCACAAGTTTTCCTTGAACTTCTTGGAATGGATCAAACCACAAAACAAACACCGTCCAACCCACTGGGGAAGAGAAAAACTCAACTGTCCCTGGAATTTATCACCTCCCATCCTTCAATGCAGTGCAAGAAATGTTCAAGGCTTTGCAGCTCCTTGCAAGAAAAAAATAACTCAAGGTAAATATTTAAAGCCACCAAATATTTCCTCCTTCCAGAGGACAGACAGGCTCCATGTTGCTTCTCTGGAATTTGTCGCCTCTTATCAAAGCTGGACTCGTATTAGAAATCACAGTATATTAATCCCACCTGCGGGTGGAAGATAAACTTGATCAGAGAGATCGTTTACAGCCCCTCGTTCTTACCTCGTCTGGACTGAGGACATCGTGGATCCTGTAGTGGAGTGGGCTCCGGTAACGTTACATTCGCGCTCAGGTGCAGTTTGGATTCTCTGTCATGATGAACTGTCACGGCTCGGACGCGCTGTGCACCCAATCTGCAGACTGCGCCGACACACGGGTTTCAAAGACAGCGATACCATCCATGTCCCTGCGTCTGCTGGAGGCTTCTTCCTTCTGCCTTCGCTGTTTTTTTAGCAGACACTCTGAAGGAAGTCTCGTGTCTTTCACTCCCTCTCAGCTGAAGTGCCTGTCCATCCAAACAGCTGCGTCCCACTTCCCAAAACACATGACATCAGTTACAAGTAAAGCCTGAAAAAAATAAATACGTTAATTTTTGTAAGACCTCCTTTGCTGGACGCGCAAGTGCAAAAAGTGACACGAAGGGCCCTTTGTCCTTTAAAAAAAGAGCATCTTATAAACCATCTGCCACGACTCCAACGTGTACCTACAACTACGCTTAAAATGCACTTTTGCCTCCCGGCAGGTGACTCCCGGTTGACTGTGGTCGCAGCAGGTAGCGCCGGTGGCACTTTCCCCTCTATTTTCCTCGTGACCTTCCTCTCAGTGCGCACAGAGGAGCGGGGACGACTTCTCAGGAGCACGGGGGCCACGGGCCGATCCCACTTGTCCACAGCTCGGCTGCTGCTGTTGTGTCCGTGTGTCTCCCTCTCTCTCTTTGCTGCCCTCTCTCTTTCTCCACCTGAGCGCTGCATTCCTGCCGTGAACACGCCTCTCTCCCCCCGTCACAGCACAGCAGCCCGTCGGAACTCAGAGGCGGTAAAACTTACCGTCCCTTCACCTCACTACGATCAGTTCAACTTTGGAAATGGAGCAACTCACAACAGACATCTTTGAAGGAACATATATGTCTGCACTGTAACAGTACCATTTAATACCTTCAGTAAAAACACAATTTATATAAATCAAGTAGAAAGTAGCGCTTGGGGGCAAATGTAACACTGAGAGCTTTTACTATTGTAGTTCAAGAGCACTTTTGTTACATTTTTATAAAGTTAAAATATTTTTAACTGTATTTGATGAAAATATCTTCTTCCTTCAAGTCATCCTCCTCATCAGTGGCGGTCCTAGCCTGTTTGGCGCCCTGGGCGAACACTCCCTCTGACACACACACACACACACACACACACATTATACATTAACATAAAACTGTTGTCGAAACCATACTGAATTTCGCCAGAGACACACACACACACATATGAAGAGAGAGACAGTATGCATTGTATGCAAATGGCTACCAAACAGCCATCATAATTTGTCATACACTGAACAGGACAAATCAACAATTGACAATGACTAATTAATATTAAAATCTGTAACATAATGTATTGTTTGGAGTTTAGTC